TTGATGGATTTGTAGCTTAATGGGCATTGGGAGGTGGTGGAAACTTTAGGCAGTGGGGCACAGGTGGGTGGAGAAAGTAGGTCTCTGGAAAAGGTGTGTGCCTGAAGAATATATTTTGTCTCACGGTCTCTTCTCTATCTCCCTTTCTGTTTCTTTTTGGTACCGGGATCGAACTCGGACTGTTGCACTTGCGAGGCTGGCAGCTCTCTTTCTGCTTCTATGCCACCATGAGGTGAGCAACTTCGCTGCACCATACCCTTCCTGCCACGATATTCTGCTTTGCTGTAGGCCCCCAGAGTGGGGCTAAGTTAAGTTTGTCAGGTATTTTGTTATAGCAATGGGAAGCCAGCTAGCACAGATGCTGTGTGAAAGTCCAGGTCCCAGTCTCCGTCCTGTGCAAGACTCAGAGTCATTATGTCTGTGGAAAAGCAGTCTTGATTGTTTTAAAGTTCTCCAATTCACAAGGGCAGCTACATTGCAGAATCATTGGAACAAAATATCCAGGGCACAGAGTCCTTCTTCCCCTTTAGAGGATTTTCTTTTTGTCCTCTATGGTGCCAACCCTTTCAGCCTCTAAGGCCCTGAACTGGGGGCCTGTTTGGAGTCACCTTTGTTGGGAAGCAGTATATAAAACCAGCAATCTGGTATGGCCCTGTCACTTTCCATTAAGGAAACCAGAGGACTAGGGAGGCTTAATGAGTTTCCCAAGGTCTCATGGGCAGTCAGGATGCAAACCCAGGATAGTGAGAATGCTCCTGGGCTTGGTCTCACACTCTTTAAATTCCAGAGCCGACTGCATTCCTGAAACTAGCTCACTCAACCTTCCTGTGTGGACTCAGCAGCCATCTTTCCATCCTGGTATGTAGGAAGGTGCTGTTCACTGAGGGGGGGGGGCTTCTTCCTTTCTCCCCAACCCCACCTACATGCTATCAGCTATGCAAGGGCTGCTGGGAATTTTACCATTGATTGGCTAGCTCACTGGCTCCAGCATTTACAAATAAGACCCCTTTCTGTACCCCTGGATGTGGTAAACCTTGATGGCGGACACCGGCTCTACCTCCACCCCAGCTCCCCACCCCACACCCAGGATTTACATACTCACTTAGCCACTGACTTGGGAGCAGCTCTGTCCAGTCCTGTGTGTCAGCACGAGTGAGTGATGGCACCCACAGACCATTACTCAGGGGAGGATGATTGTGAGTCACTATGAAAGGCTCCTTCCCCAGTCTGGCCACTGCTCTGGGCTGTGCCTGGAGACAGAAAATAATAACACCCTTTGGACTGGACTCCTAAAAATAGAACCAATGGAGTCTGCGGCTATGGTAGGAGGAGGCCTGGGGATCAGGTGTCCTGGGTGCTCAGCCCAGCTGGAATGCAACTCACTATAAGACTCTGGCCCCCACTCTGTGTACTAGTTGTTGGAGTCTGTGCCCTAGGCCATTTCAAGTGGGGTGTTCAAGTCTTTGGGGGTAGTTGCAAAATCTTTCAGAGTATGACATAAACCAAAGACAATCAACTCAGAAGTCATATACACCATTATGCAAACTATTCAGAAGTTGTGAGAATCCCTGGCACCTAGTTCTGGACAAGAACTTCTGATCAAGGGGCTCTATTTGTTCAATAAGGCTATGGAATACATTTCTTCCATATTCTATACTTCCCCCAGCCAATTTTTTTGTTGTTGCTTTTGTTGTATTCTTGACTCATTTATCAAGTGCACTCCAGGCCTTGTAGAAAGTGTACTGTTCACGGGAGGGAGAAAAGAGGAGCAGCCACTGCTTGGGATATCTGCAAGAAGGGCTCAGGCATTGGAGATGCAGATAACCTGAGAAACTGACCAGCCAGGAGAGAGACAAGGTCAAGGTCGGCTAACTTCAGAGCTATTATCCACCCCTTGGCTTCTTGTAGACTCCCTCCCTCAGTACTGGGAACAACTCATCACATACCAGCCATGAAAATCACAACACCCTTTGTGAGTGTTTCAAGCCCAGTTCTGGCCAAAGGGACATAGGAGAAGTTAGCATGGGGCCCTCAGTGTCTAGAAATGAGGCAGAGCCTCAGGAGAAGATTTTGCTTGGGCCCCTTTCTTTCTCCTTTGGGAGACTGATAAGAGGATTTGCCTAGATCCTATAACTATCTTGAGACCTTGAGCTGACATGAGTGAAAATAAAAGACTAACATTTTAGGAAAGAGAAACCAGAAGCCAGGAAAATACTGGGCTCTAGGTGAGCTCATTGGACTTCTAAACTACCCTGGATCCCATGGCTCCCAATCTCCTTCTAAAGAGACCCAGTGTCAGTTTCATCTAAGCCACTGCTGGATGGGGGTTGTTACTTGTAGTCAAAAGCATTTCTCACTGAAACAAATTCAGTTCCAGATTTCCAGGAAGGATATGGATTTTGTGCACTATTAGGACTCAGAGAAGAACTCATCAACTCTATGTGGAAGAGGAGGGGTGGACTAAATCATTGACCATTGGTAACTTAACTCAAAATTCAGCTTCTCTTCCCTTCCCAGAGGTTGGGTGAGACTGAACTTTCCAACTGTACTGACATCACTGGTTCTTCTGAAGGCCAACCCCTATCCTAAAGCTATCTAGGGACCACCAAGACTTGCCTCATTAACATACATTTTCCTATATGACATGGTTGAAAGGGGCTCTTAGGAACAATAAAAGATGCTCCTATTGATAGAGAAAACTTCCATAAATAGCAAAAACCTATAAAGTGTTACAATGTAAAATGGCTTCTGCTGTCTCTAACAGCAGTTTGCTTTGTTTAGCTCAGAACTAATAGGCACTGAAGACACTAATTGTGGAATGAGGCATTCGGTCTGACCCTGAGATAACAGGGCACAGCAAGACCTTGAGCTCGGAAGAGACTAGAGCCACCTGATCGCGAGAGTGTCTAGATGAAAAAACCCATGGCTGACATTTGCTCCCCTGACCCTGAACACCCCCTTCCTATGGACTAGAATAGATAACTAGGTGAATCTTAAAGGTAAACTCCCCTAGCTATGAAAATTATATCTGGGTTGAAAGTTAACTATCCTGTGACCGTGGTTTGAAATGTGAGAATAAAATGTAACCACCCAAATGAAGTCCAGGCTGTGAAACCCTATAAAAGGAGGAGTTATAACCCAGTGCGTTGTCGATCCAGGCACAGCTTATGTGGGATCGACCCTCACAGATGAGTAAATTTGTTACTTTACTTCCATTCTGCTGCCTTGCTGTGTGTCACTTGCAAATGCCTGCTGCAACACTGGTGCTCAGGAAATTCCAATGCAGTTAGAAGCTCTTTGCCATGAGCCAGAGGACAAGACAAAGATCAAATATATATTTCTAATTATATCATAGTCTGTTTCACCAAGTATTTATAGAGGAGTCTCAACATTATAAAGTATAAATAGGGCTTTCGGGACTCATTTGAAAAGGAAACGGAGCACAGGAAGCTGGACTGTGCTGGACACAGAGGTTTATTTCTTTCAGTGCCCTCTCTGCCCTCTACTTTGTCTTCTCACTGAGCCATGGGTCCCATGTGTGTATTTGGTCAGATTCTTTAATTTACTTTTTCTGGCACATTGGAGTGTGAAGGGACAAGAACCTATGGGAAAATGGATTCCCTTTGCTTTTAGAGCATCCAGGTCTCCTGGTCAGTTGCTGTGGACCAGGAGCGTTGAACAAATATCAGCCTTTCCTATGAGGTTTGCTTTAGGCTGTTAATAAAGTCTCACTTGAGCATTTCATCCAAGAATTCATTGCACGTTCAGTTGACTGCACAAAAATCATAGGAACTCAAGGTGAAAAGGGATTGAAATGCATTCCTGTGTGTGAACTTACTTCATGGTCAATGTAATTAAAACTTCTTCACCTCCTCTTTGGTGTGTTCTGAGTTAAGAACAGAAAGTCACTCTGCGTGGTGGACATTGCCACAGGTTTGAGTGTACACAGCACTGGATCTCACCCGTCCCCATCTGACCTGGGACCCTTGTGCTGGGCTGGCCCAGAGCACTCACACCCTATGGAAGGCGACTCTGCAGAACACATACTGCTGAGGTTGCCAGAAGTTCAAGCCAGCCTGGGCTGCTGAAAGAAAAAGAAAGAAAGAAAGAAAGAAAAAGAAAGAAAGAAAGAAAGAAAGAAAGAAAGAAAGAAAGAAAGAAAGAAAGAAAGAGAAGAGAAGGGAAGGAAGAAAGAAAGGCTTCCTTGCCTCAGTCCAGAATTTCTTACTTGACACCATTCAGCTCTGTTTAGCTTTGTGTTGCTTTCTGCTTCCATCTAGTACACCTTGCAGATGAAATCACACAGGGACAAATGTAAAATTTGCATTGTGCTCACATTGTTCTCTTCTGTATTAGTTGCATCAGAACAAATTTGCATTTTCAGGACCAGTGTTAAAAGCAGAGCAGAGTGTAGATGTCTGGTCTGGATGTTCTGTAAGTTCTAAGGCTAGCACAACTTACCCACTTGGCAGGGTTTTGGTTAGATGATAGATGTTTTTTGTTTTTGTTTTTTTTAATTTACAGAAAAAGATAGATGCTGGGTGAGTTTCTCGGTAATATTTACAAAAGTCTGTGACATTTGCATCACCTCCCATCCTTATCTATTTTTTTTAATCCACAGAACTTCATCAAAGACTTGACTGCATATTCAATGGACTGTACAAGAATCATAGGAACTCAAGGTGGGAAGAGATCGAAAAACCTGATCCAACCCCTTCATCTTACAGAGAAAAAAAGTGATGTTGCTGCCCATGAGCTGCTCGAAGTATGTGCTGGGCCAGATTTGTATCTGAAACCTTCATGCTCAGCTGAGGACTTCAGGTACTCAGACTGTGCCCTGGGCAAGGAATCAAAGTGGATTCTGAACCCCCAGGGAAGGTGGAGTGAGGGCAGTGAGGCCAGGGAGCTTGGTCTCTTGAGTGGCACCAAGTGAACAACGGTGTTCTTTCTTCTGTGTGGGACCACGGCTGGGGTTTATTTCAGTGGTAGAGCACTTTCCTAGCAAGCATAAGGCCCTGGGTTCATTCTCCAGCTCTGAAAAAAAAAAAAAAAAGAATCAAAGTAAGTGAGTAAATAAATAAATAAAATAAATACCAAAGCCAACAACTCCCATGATTCTCAGCCCACTCTTCAGGTATTTCCTGCATCACCAAAAATACAGTGGGAGCCTCAGTGTCAAGGGAAGATGGATGGAGTCTTCTCTATTTTTCCTGTCAGATTGTTTTTGCCTGTATCATAGAGCTCATAGTTGGTGACATGGATTATAAATGGTAAGACTACACTGTCTAAAATGCTACTCCTCTGGGAGTTTTCAATCTATCCAAGATCCAGACAAGCACAGCAGGGAAAAATGAAAATATCTCAGCTTCATTAGGGGAAATTTATAGCTGGCTTAAGGTTGCCATGGTGATCAAAAGTCAAGAACTATTTGTAGATGCCAGTACAGTACTTGTAGATTTCAGGTAAGAGCCACAGCTAGACTGACTATAAACTACATATGCACTAGGTTGCTTAGCACATTACTTAATCCTCACAAGTACCCACAAAGTGGTTAGTATTACCCTGTGTAGAACTAAGAAAACCAAGGCTCAGAGGGACTGAGCCATTTTTTGGAGATCACACAAAACTGATCTGAACTCAGGAATGTCTGACCCTAAAATCTGCATGAGGTGGACTTTTTAAGGCAGTGAGGGTACTTAGGTTGCCCCAAGTGGTGGGAGTTGTTACACACCTGCACAGACATAGGGGCTCCCCAGGGCACTCAGGGCAGACCCAGGAGGGCACCAGCCTCCCCCAAGATGCCACTACAGGATCCAGCTCCTTTGTTGCTTTTTGGTTAACTATCACCATGCGTAGAGTGGAGTTTTGGCCAAACATGAGGAGGGACTGTGTAGGATCGAAGCTCAGTCTGGGGGTTGATATGTGTTCTCTCAGAAGCAGACCCAAACACAAGACCTGTTCATGAGTTCTCCTTCCCTTCCCTTCCCTTCCCTTCCCTTCCCTTCCCTTCCCTT